ACATTGTGGGTTTTTCCAAGTGAGGACAAATACATGTTGATTCTTGTCAGCTGGGATACTAAAGAAAGCTGAGCAAAGATCCACCATTGTGAACACTTTTAAGTTTGTAGGTATGTTAGATAACAAGATATGGGATTTGAAACTACAGGGAACCTTGGTATCACAGTTTTATGAATTGCACGCAGATCCAGGACACATCTCCAACCTCATCTTTTTGGTTTTGTAATGGGTAAGATTGGAGTGTTATGGGCACTAGTGCATGGAATTATAAGTCCTGGCTTAATTAAGTCTCCTATAGTTGGTGAGTGCCCTAGGATAGCTTCTGGTTTAGTGGATATTGAAGGGATGTAGGCAGGGGTTTGGAATGATCTATTTGGATTTTTATGGGTTCAGCACTCTTAATTTTGTTGATTGAGGATAAGCCCACAGGCATTCAGGCCCTTCCGGGAGATCGGAGCTTTCATACTACAGGGTTCAATTTCATCAATTCCTGCTTGCAGAGGGCAGAGCAGCCCAGCTTCAGGAGGATCAGGCAATTCCAAGGTAATTTATTTCTCCTTCTGAGTCAAATTTTATATGACTTCTCACTTTAGAAAGTAAATCTTATCCTAACAGGTTTACTGGGGCAGTGTCACACAGAAGGAAAGTACGGTTTCCCCAAAATGGCCCTGACGTCATCTGGACTGGTTTAGACACAGGTACCCTTTGAATTTGGCTAAGAACTCCCATGACAGAAATATTCTCTTTACTCTAAGGAATTTGCTGTTTTAGGAAAGTGGGATTTAGTGCAGATAAAGTGGCTCCAGTATCCGCCAATAGTGTACTGGATTCTCCATTAATTTTTATCGTTTCCCCTTGCTCATTTAAAGGTATCATGGGGAGCAATTTACCCGAGGGTCCCTTGGAGCCCCATCAATGCTTATTATTATTTCAGTAATCAAACGTTTTAAGACTTCCCCTTAAGGAAAAATAGTCTGGATTAATAGGTGGAGGTCTATTAAATGATGGGTTCAGCAGGGGACATTTCTTTTACCAGTGCCCTGGTTATTTACAATGAAGGCAGCCATTTGGGGCACAAAAGTCCTGAGTGGAGGACTTCTAGGTTCTGGCTTGAAACGTGTACGTGGAAGTCCTCTTTACCCTTGGAGCTGTTGTAACTGCAGAGCCGTAAGTTTATTGGCTTTTGAATTTTATCTTGCTCCAGGGATTTTTCAAAATGCTCAGCTAGGGCTGTTAATTCAGCAAGAGGGGTGGCTTCCCAGTCCAGCTTGTGTCTCCTTATTAGGCTATTTAGTTTGGGCCAGAGTCTGCTAATGGATAAGGAAATCAGTGAGTTTTCAGTGCTTGTGTTCAATCAAGAAAGCCCAGAATGTTTCACAAAACAAGTGTTTCCAGTTGTGTCTTATAGCCTGAGTCTGGTTCATCCTTTTTTGTTTGTTTGTTTGCAATATCAAGTGACAGACCAATCTTTTGTGAAGAAATACCTTACCAATATTTTCAGATAGGTCTTGGGCTATTTTTCTAGAGCAGCGGTTCTCAACCTGTGGGTCGCGACCCCCTTGTGGATCGAATGACCCTTTCACAGGGGTCGCCTAAGACCATCTGAAAGCAAAAAGATACTTACATTACGATTCATAACAGTAGCAAAATTACAGTTATAGAGTAGCAACGAAAATAATTTTATGGTTGGGGGTCACCACAACATGAGGAACTGTATTAAGGGGTTGCAGCATTAGGAAGGTTGAGAACCGCTGTTCTAGAGCGTTTTGGGCCATCCTGGGCTGAGTGATGAGTATGTGGGTCTTTAATATTGCTCTTGGGAATCTCCCCACTTGGCTTTAGCCATCCAATTTTGGGAGTCTCTAGGTCCTAATGTCATATGAATAATTTGGTAGAGATCTGGAGTCCCAGATCATAAGCTCCTCATAAATTCCTCATAAAATTTTTGAGGATTGTCTTTAGATTTTGGAAAATCTTTGATGATGGTCCTACACTCAGCCACTGACCAAGGAGAAAAGATGGTTACATTTAGTATTCCAAGCTCAGCAGAGGGTCTCACTTTAAAAGGCATTAGTTTAACCTCTAGCTCATCTTCAGCATGAAAAGGCAATTAAGTAAAGGGATTAGTAGGTTCAGAATATTTAGGGAGAGGAAGGTAACGGGAAGGAGTGATCAGAACAGTCAGGGTCAAGTTAGTCAGTGTATGCTTTTTTTTTAGATTCACCATCTACTTGTTGCTTAAGCTTTTCATCTGCCTTTTGTAAAGAATCTTTTTTTTTTAAGATTTTGTTGGGGAATTGGGGGAGGGGAACAGTGTTGGGGAATTGGAGAAGGGGAACAGCTAAGTTGTTGTCCTTCAATCTTTGTTGTGGAGGGCGCAGCTAGCTCAGCTCCAAAACCAGTCACCACCCAGCCACCTGATGGCAGCTCAGGGCCGCTCGGCTCAAGGTGCCGTGTTCAATCTTAGTTGTGGGTGGGCACAGCCCACTATCCCATGCAGGAGTTGAACCAGCAACCTTGTTGTTAAGAGCACATGCTCTCACCAGCTGAGCCATCCTGCCACTTGTTGGCAGCTCAGCTCGTGTGCAGCTCACTGGCCCATGTGGGAATCGAACCGGCGGTCCTGTTGCTCAGAGCTCACGCTCTTAACCAACTGAGCCATTTGGCCGGTCCTAAAGAATCTTTTTAAAGAGGCAATTTTTTATTTATTTAGTTTCTTAGAAGCTTTGAATACCAATAAAAAATGTATCCTCTTGTTTTGGAAGAAATTCTGAACTTATTTTCCTCTGGAGCACCTCATAAATGGATGTTTATTTAGGTTAAAAGTTCCCCACTGTAGTCACTGTAATTGAAAATTATCTTTGGTAAGGTTTCGCCAATGGCTCAGAAATGCAGGTTCTGGGCCTATACTTTTTTTTTTAATTGGGGAATTATGGGAGGGGAACAGTGTTGGAGAATTGGGGAGAGGGACCAGCCAAGTTGTTGTTCTTCAATCTTAGTTGTGGAGGGTGCCAGTCGGCAGCTCATGGCCTCTAAGCTCAAGGTGCTGTGTTACAATCTTGGTTGCAGGTGGGTGTAGCCACCATCCCATGAGGGAGCGGAACCAGCAGCCTTGTTGTTAAGAGTGCACACTCTATCCACTGAGCCATCCGGGCGGCAGCTCAGCTCAAGGTGCTGAGTTCAGTTTTAGTGTGGGTGGGCATAGCCAACCATCAAACAGGCAGTCATGTTAGGAGCACCTGCTCTCACCAGCTGAGCCATCTTGCCACCTGTTGGCAGCTCAGTGGCAGGTCAGCTTGGGCGCAGCGTCACTGGCCCATGTGGGAATTGAACCGGCAGCCCTGTTGTTCTGAGCTCACGCTCTTAAGCTAACTCTTAACCAACTGAGCCACTCGGCCGGCCCAGGCCCACCATTTTTATACATATAGTCAGGGTCCCAGATGGAGGAGTCCCAGGTTGTTTGGAGTAAGAGGAACCCATTTTTTCAATTTTCCTCCCTTATTACCTGAGGGTTCACACTGGACCAAGTCCAGCTTAAGTCAAACCCAGTTCGACACCAGACCCAGTCTGGTTTCTTATAAGTTGGCCAACCCCAGACCCAGTCCAGAGAAAGAAATGCTCAAATAAATTTGGAGAACTCTTTTAAATGCAAAATCTGCAGAGCTTAGCTCCAAGAGGGACTTATTCACGACCTTCAGGAGCACTGAGAAAACAGTAAGTGCAAAGGGCTTAGCGGGTACATTTGGCTAGTAGCACGTTGCTCCTGTGGGCTTTTTGGTCTTTTTCAGATCCCACTTCTGACACTAGAACTGTTAAAAGATAAGTTGAGGCATATTAAAGTTTATTTGAGCAAAAATAAATTGGAATCAGGCAGCACCAAAGCAGAAGTGGTTAGAAGTGTTTCGCTAATGGGAACTAAGGAAAATTTTTTATAGAGCAAAGTAGTCACCCCTTATCTGCAGTTTTGCTTTGTGTGGTTTCAGTTATCCACACTCAACTGCAGTCTGAAAATATTAAATGGAAAATTCCAGAAATAAACAATTCCTAAATTTTAAACTGCACGCTGTTCTGAGTGGTGTGATGAAATCTTGCACTGCCCTGCTCAGGATGTGATCCCTTATGTCCAGTGTCTTCATGCTGTATGTACAGTACAATAAGATAGTTTGAGAGAGTGACAGACAGAGACAGATTGCATTCACATAGCTTTTATTACAATATGTTGTCATAATTGCTCTATTTTGTTATTAGTTATTATTGTTAATCTCTTCTTGTGCCTAATTTATACATTAAACTTTACCAGAGGTATGTGTGTATAGGGGGGAAAAGTATATATTGGGTTCGGTATTATCCACAGTTTCAGGTGTCTGCAGATAAGGGGGGACTACTGGAAGGAAATGACTGATTTGTTATAGCTTAAACTCTAGTTGTCTGCTTGTGATTGGTTGTCCTTAGGTTCCACATTTGTAACCTTGATGTACCTACAGGCTTAGACTTTGGTTTGCTTAATAGGTGCCACAGCATTAGAGCCACCTCAGTCTCATGGCCTCCTTATTTAATTAATTTAACAAGTGATACCATTCAATTAAAGCTTAAAAACATGAAAGTCATTGATTTATAAAAAAGTCATTGATGTCTATTGTTTATGGATACGTGGGCAGTGAACGTGTCAGAACTTGCACGGGAATGATAAGCGCAGGCTTCAGAAAGGGTTCAGTTGGGGAGGGAGGGAGGGGAACGGAGCAAAAATGCGTGTGAAAGGCTTGCGTGGGAGCTTCAACTGTCTCTGTGATGTTTTATTTCTTAAAAAATGTTATGTAGCAAATATGTCAAAATGTTTAGATTTGTTCAAGCATACACACACACACACACACACACACACACACATATCCCAAGGGTGCCCAAAATATGTATATACATGACTTGTATTCATCTTTTGTTATTGGTATATATCAAGTATTACAATTTTAATACAGTTTTTTCCTTTCTTAAATTGTGTATGCATCTTTTTGGCACCCTTTGTATATATACAATAGGTTTTTCTGTATGCTTGAAATATTTTATAATTTAACACTGTTTTTAAGTGTCAAGGATTTGGAGACTGGCAGGCTGGGGGTTAGGTCTTCTTTTCACCAATTACTAGCTGTGTTTTTGGATAAATTGCCTCTTTTCCCGTCTGTGACTGTCCCTCTTGGGATGCCACGCCCTATTCACCTGCTCTGAACACTTGATTAAATGAACACTGGGAAACAGCTTGCCAGTTTTCTCTTTTATTTAAAAAAAAATGCTACTGGCTGCTTTACTTTCAAATTTAAGTGACTGGGGTTGAAATCTCTCCCTTCCCTCTTCCCACCTCCCCAGCACACACATACAAAGTTTGAAGGTTTGACTTACGCCTGGAGACAATCTTTAGGTTTGGAATTTTTTTGGAATTTTACAAGGGATGATTTAATTTACAATCTACAGGCATAGTCCCTTTGACATTCAGAGGCTCTATGGCTAACTGACTTTTGTTCTTTGAACTTTTGTTCTGCTCTCTGGAGAATGCTGAAAGGCTACTTTTCAGAACTAGTTTTTTAGTTCTGAGACATATTGGAAAATAGATTGCAGAATTTGTGGCATATTTGGGTCTAGTGAGGTTTTTGGATATACTGCCCTAAAAGCTTACTAGAGAAACACTATTCACAGTTCCTCCATTCTAGACATCAGCAAGGCCCTTCTTTTAAAGGGACTGCCCAGGGAATCACTGAAGCACTGGGACAAAGGCTGCAATTCCACCTCAAGAGACTCTGGCCTTTGCAGTCTGGGAACAGCCACCCTTAGAAACCCTGGTGCTGGAGACGCCAGGCAGTAGACTAAGCATCTGGGTCAGAGAATGGAGGGGAAGAGTCGAAGTGCAAAAATGGGGAGTTCTAGGTTTGATACAGGTTCCAAAGTTTCCAGCACGTGACCTCATTCCTTCTCCACCCCCTAAACCTGTTTTTTCTTTTTGTATCCCTGTCTCTCCAATCCAGATACTTGGGAGTTAGCTTGACCTTTTTCTGATCATCACATTCAATCAGGTACCGTGCCCTGTAGATTCCACCCTTTTTTATGGCTCAGTCTGGGAGTCTTTCAGGGGCCTTCGTTAGAAAGTGGTTAAAAGGAGGCTCCCTCTGGGCTTGCACATTTGGAAAAGATGCTTCCTCTGGGCGAAAGCAGCTTTCAGATACATGTTTGGCTAACAGATAGCTCCTTGGTGAGAAGAGGTGTCCTTTCCTCCTGGCAGACGCCAGACTGCGTGGCTCAGCTGGCAGCACAGGTTGTGTTTCGCCCCTTCCTTGCCTCTCTAACACCCCTTGTGTGCAGTGAAGATTGCACCACGATGTGCTGTGACCCTGCTCGAATCTTTGGCCTCCTCTTTGTGGGTCCAGCTGCTGCTGCCTTAAAGTCGTTCGTGATGGTGTGGACTGCTCGAACAGTGTCCCTTCTTTCTTCTCCTTTCTTCCCTTGTGTCCTCAGGGCTGCCTCCTGAATGGTCTGCACACGGGCTCCAGGCACTCCCCTTGCCTTCAGGACTCTCAGCGCAGCACCCAAGGCTCTTTTCCTGCTCATTTCCACTTCCTCTTCTGCCTCTCCCACCTGAAACCTTCCTTCACCCGGAGCTTTCCTGGCCTCCGCCTGGAAAGTCCTTGCTCCTTTCTCCTCCTGGTCTTCCAAGACTTGGCAGGACTACCTTCCCTAGGAAGTCTTCCTAGGTGGGGTGGCTTCTCCCTTAGTACTTACCACCCTGCATTGCAATCTATGCCTGCTAAACACTGGGCACCGGGACACAGCGGCTAGAACCTACACTACTTTTAGAGGCTCATGGTAACCTTTGAATTTATTTTGAAATTAGAAGACAAAAGTGAACTTTAAGGGTCAAAGAGAATGTGTTATTTTTCTCAAATCAGAAAAAATATATAATAATTTGTAGTGTCCTCAAAAATCTATTAAATCATTTTTCCTTTTTATAGAGGAAGATGCCCATGGAGGCAAAAGTACCCAGGGCCTATGGAAGTCACAATATGGCCCTGGTTGACACTGTTGCTCCCTTCCCACACCAAACCCAGTAGACGGAGATCTCCTAGGACAGAGGATGAACCCCCTCAGGACTGTGCTATGTTTATTTGTTTGTTTGTTTGAGGTGTACAAAACAATGCAATACTTATCCCTTTCGCCCCTCGCAAAGTGACAACTCCCTTCCCCCCATCCACTGCCCTCCCACCCCCGATATCATACCTGTACTATGTTTTTCTAAACCTTTATATCTCCGGCCCAGGGCTAGGCACTCAGACTGGATCAGTCAATGATTTCTGAAAAAGCGAATAAGAAAATAACGAATGAGAGGCTTTGGGTGAGACTCTTGACTGAGTCTTCCTTTCTTCATCTGCAAAGCCAAGCTTCATCCTCACAGGGTGGCTGCAAGCATCAGATGGTGAGTGGGAAATGCTTTGGAACTGTGGAACTTGGAGCCGGTCCTGAACCTCCACAGGATGTGGGCAAGGAGAGGAGTGCTAGAGGTTATTAAAAATGGCTCCAGGTGGCTTTGATAGCTTTTTTTTGGTAACAAATAAAATTATCCTATTTATACATATAGAAAGAAAGTGGAAGGCCATTAACCAAGGTGGCTCACAGTGGCCAGCCCCGGAGCATGGGTTACCTTTGCAGTACTTTTAAAAACCATACTTAGGAGCCGGTGAAAAACCAGGTCTGCCTTACTTTCCCTTTGTGTCTTTGGGCCTGGCACAAGTGAATGACATAATGAGTGAAGGAATCCCCCATCCAATGGCCTCATCTGGCACCCCATCAGCACAGGGGCCCCTACTCCCAATGGGTGAGAAGTGCGGCTGCACCCTCAGAGCAAGGCCAGCAACCGAGGGAGCACAGCTGCAGCACGGAGACTCCGTTTACCCAAGGTGCTGGCTCTTGCAAATCATCATGGATCCTGAGGAAGAGATGGGACATCTCCAATGGCGACAGACACCTTCAGGCACTTAAGGAATTTTAGTTCCTGTCCCATCTTCACAAACACTTGGGCGATAGACTTTCTGTGTTCCAAGTCATTTAATATTTCCCATAGCTCCCAGAGGGCTGGGATTGTGCCTTTTTATAAACTCTGGGTGCCTGTTAAGTCCCAAACAGTATCAGCCTAGTCTGTCGTGTTCATTTCTGGGTGCTCAGCGCCCAAAAGCACGCGGACACACAGGTGTTGAGTGAGCAAACGAAATCTGTGAAGTGTGATTTCTTTAAAGGATTGCTGGGACTTCTCTAGCGAAAGGAATAACCTACCTCTAGATAATAAGACCCTGCATGGCCTCCCGCACCCTGTCATTTGGACCTCTAGGAATCGCCTTTGTTGTGGGCGACCAACTACAGGCAAACCGAGCACCTGCTCATCCAGCCGGTCCTCGCGGAAGGACCCCAGGTTGCCGCGCCCGCGGCTGCCTCTCTCCGTTTCCCGGGAACTGGGGGCCCGAGGCATCCCGGGGCTCGCTGCCAGGGTCCGCCCCAGCGCTTCCCAGCCAAGGTAGCACGCGCCCCCAGGTGCTCCAAAACCCCGTCCAGGGTTAGCTTACTTCGCCTCTGCGGGCCGGGCGAGGGGCCTGGGGCTGCGTTGAGGGCCTCGTCTGGTACCCCCAGGCCTGCGGGGGCAGGAGCCTGAGTCACTGCGGCGCACGCCCTCTCCTTCGGCTTCCATCCTGGGGCCACCTCCGCCCTGCAGCATCGGGCCCCGGCGCAGCCGGTTCTCCCCGGATCTCCCGCGCGCCCCCTCTTCCCGGCCCGAGTCTCCGCGGCCGCGGCCCCCGCCCCTGGCTGGCTCCAGGGGAGCTTCGCTGGTCCGTCCCTCCAATGGAGAAGCCCGAACTCCCAGCGCTCCCGGGCAGCTCCCGCGGGAGGGGGCGCGGCCGCCCCCGCGGCTCCACCCTCTCTGCGGGGCTGCAGCCATCTGGGGCCCCTGCCAGTCGCGTCTGCTCCGGGGCCCGTGCCGAGCTCGCGCGGGAGGAGGCGGTCTCACCGGGCGACCCCCTGCCGGCGCCTGTGCGCTAAGATGCCCCGAAGGGGCAGTGGCTGCCAGCTGAGCATGGGTGGAAGCGCGTCGCAGCGGACGCAGCGCCCCTCGCCACCTCGGTGACCCCTCAAGAGCCGGGACCAGAGATCCGGAGGCGGCGGTGGGGACCCGCGCGGGCGGCGAGGTCCGTGTTCCTAACGTCCGGGGAGGGCGCCGGCTGCTGAGCCTCGGCCGGGCTCGTCGCCTCCCGCCTCTCCCCACCAGCCCCCCGCGATCTGGCAGAAGGAAATAGCGCGCGGCCCCTTTAAATTTACCCAGGAGCCCTTAAAGGAGCCCCAGGGGCCCCAGACAGGAATCCCCACCCCGGTCCAGCTCGCGCCGCCGAGCGAGCAGCCAGCCGTCCGTGCGGCCGGCTGCCTCGTGCATGCGCCCCGCGCCCCGGGGCCCCGTGCACCGAGCACCCTGCGCGGGCTGCCGTCGGCCCCGCGGCCCCGCGGCCCGCCGCCCCGGGGCCCCGCTCCGCAGCGCAGCGCATGGAGCCCGGCGGGGACCACCGGAGCCGAAGCGGCGGCGGCTGGGGCGGCCCCGGGCCAACAGTGGCCTCAGCACAGGGCCGACGGCTGCCGCCCGCGGGATCAGGCGGCGGCGTGGAACCTGAAGAGGACGACGGCGGTAAGGGCTGGGGCAGGCGGCTCGGGCGGGGGCCCCGGCATGGGGGAGGGGAGGGCTACGGCTCCGGGCCCCTCTCCGCCACCGAACAAAGGGGGGGACGCGGGCAGGGCGGCCGGAGGCGCCACCTGGCGGGCGCGGATCACGGCTGCAGGGCCAGCGGGGAAGCCCCCCGCCCGGCTCCCAGGGTCGGCCCGCGGGGCTTGGGCGGATCCCCTCCCCCTTAAAGGGCCCCGCGGCCCCCGCCTTGGAGGCCCGGCCGGAGGGGCCCCAGAGGGCCTGGCCAGACGCCACCGGGCGCGCGCTCTAGGCTGTTGGACTTGCGGTCCCCGCCCCTTTCTCTTTCAGACTCCCAGGTGGTGTCCCTAGTTGGCTGTCTCTTAAAAGTCTGCCCAGACCATGGGTCCCTTTCGGGGACTCCCCCCGAGATGAGCGGAGCTGGGAACTCCGTTGTGTTAAGTCGGGCTGCCCCTCTCCTCTTGCTTAGAGACAGGAACCCTTTTTTCTTTTTCCCCGCGTTATTCCTGGGAAAGGGCATAGCTTGCGCCTCGGAGGCCCCACCCCTACCTTCCCCACCGCGGGCAGTTTTAAAGGAATGGGCTCGCCCACAAAGGCAGACACCCCGTTCTGTCCGCGCGTTTTCTCCTGTCTTTTCAGAAAATTTGCCACAGTTTGTCAGCTATAGTGGGACCATCCAGTCCTCCCCATTCGCTCTCAAAAAGGAGATAGTGTCTTCATTCCCTTGCTGCAGGGTCAACGACTTAAGACCCATGAAGGTTCTGTCAGGGCTAGGGAGGCTGCCCCAATCTTGGAGCTCCCATCCTAGAAACTCCCCATCCCCTTTTGTTTTTAAAGAATCTCAGCTCCTCCCCTTTTTTCGGCTCTTAAAGGGCCAGTCCACCTTAGACTTACATAGATCCAACGCTGGTAGGATGCTTAAAGACCAGCTAGCTATCCAGTGCTTTGCAGACAAAGAGCTTAGGCCCAGAGAGCAACTTGACCTATCAAAGGTCACAGAGCAAGTTACCAGTGAAGCCAGAACTGGAATCCCGGTCTCTAACTCTGAAGGCAGTGCTTTTTCTTTGGATCTATTTAAATCAAAAACAAACAAAAAACAAAAAAAAAGCAATGGTGACAGGAGTCATCTCTGATCCTGTCTTTTGTTTTCCCCACCCTGAGATTCTCCACTTGGAGAATGACCACACCTGTCCATTCAGCTTATGTGGCCAGGAGACCCTTTTCTAAATAGGGTTCAAACTGTAGCAAGGGTGGGGGACTGCTCCAGATCTGTTTGGCGAAAGGAACACCACTGGGTTAGTGGGCTCTGTCCTGGCCTCTCTGATTGCTGGGCAGCGGCCGGCTCCCTGCCAGAGCAAAAAACAAATCCCCAGAAAGATTTAATGGACTCCTGTGGGTGGGGGCCACTCCCTGCCTCAGAATCTCCAGTAGCCACTCTGATGGCCCTCCTGCCAGCCCCTTTCAGAGTCTCTGGGGAAGTCAGGGTCCTAAAAACTCCTTTCCCTGGAGGTTGACAGCTTTGTCATGGGGATCCCTCTCATGGGTGCCTGTGTTTGGGAACTGACAATGCTTAGTGCTCCCTAAAATGGGACTCTTGAGGAGGCTGTATTGGAAAAATGAAGAAGCTCTTTGGGTGGGGCCCTCCTGGCTGGGGCCTCAGGCGGGTGGGTCCTGTGTGCAGCCCTGGATGCAGACAGATGCCCCCTTTGTTCTCGCCCCGCTGCTGCCTGCTCTGCTCCAGCTGTAACCGCCCCGGCATTCTGCTCTCCTGGCTTTACCCCTACAGCTCTCATCCAAAAAGGGTGCCTTACAGAGTCAGCTGGCTCACCTTATTTTATAAAAAGTCAGAGCTAGACCCTTACAGTGCCTTGCATCCTTTTGTTGTTGATTCTCTCTTAAAGGGCCCTCGCTCTTTGTAAAGTGCCAGTGTTTTGACTCGCTGCCCTCCTACATCCCTTTTATTGCTGTTGCCATCCCTTTCCTGCTCCTGAACGAGAACCCTCTCCCCTTCCCTTTCTCAGGATGCAAAATCAAAGCCCTGGGTTCTTTCCCTGGAAATTGGAGATTGAAAAACTGTCTCCCTTTTCCCTTCTTCAGGGCAAGATCTTCAGCTGGAAGGGGGTGCCTTGGGGTCCTGGGGGAGTGCCCCCCTGCCCTCCTCCAGGGCCAGGGGACCAGCATCTTCAGGCAGGAAATACTCAGACCACTGTGAGGCCTGGGCCTCCAGGCCTGGAAAGAGCCGCATCCCCGGCCGTGACCACCGGCGTTACTACCACGACCACTGGCGGCTGGAGTACCTGATGGACTTCAACCCTGCCCGGCACGGCATGGTGTGCATGGTGTGTGGCAGCTCCCTGGCCACGCTCAAGCTCAGCACCATCAAGCGGCACATTCGCCAAAAGCACCCCTACTCCCTGCATTGGAGTCCCCGGGAGAAGGAAGTCATCAGCAACAGCTGGGATGCCCACTTGGGGCTGGGGGCCTGTGGAGAGGCTGAGGGCCTGGGGACCCAGGGGGCTGAGGAGGAGGAGGAGGAAGAAGAGGAAGAGGAGGAGGAGGGGGCTAGCCTCCAAGCTTGCCCACCCAAGGGCCCAGGTAATGCAGGACATGGAAAGGCAGGTGGGGCCAAGTGGGGACAGCCCTGGCTTCTCAGCCAGTTAGCTGATTTCCTTTGGGTGGGGTCTGCTTATTGCCTTTATTGTACAACAGTGGAGGAGGGACAGTGGGACAGGGGTTCTCCAACATCTCAGACAGCTTTGACATTCTGTGGTTTTAGAAGGATCAAGGAGAGTGGAGGCTGGAGGGATGAGGGGAAGGGCGGCTGGGAGCAGAGAGTGCTGGAAAGGTATGGTTGATAGTGAAGTCCAGAGAAGGGGCTAGAATCGGGGACTTGGGGAGGAGTGGGTGGGCCTTAGGGTTTGTGTGCAGGAGGATTAGGAGATGGAAGAGTTAAGACTTGGGGGGAGAGGAAGAGAAGGACAAAGGTTAGGCTAGGGGCTCAGTGAGAGAGGCTTGTGGAGGACCTGGCTGTGGTGGTGGTGGTGGTGGTGGTGGGGCTCCACCAGAGGTCCAGCGTCTCAGTTCCTTCCCTCCCTCCAACCCTTTCAGGCAAAGCCCCAGCTGGTGGGGGCGGCAGGCGCCGGCGACGAGGGGGCTCAGTGGCACCCTGGGCTCGGCGTCAGCGCCTCTTGGCCTCCCGGAGGGCCGGGGGCAGCAGGGGGCTGGGCGCTCGGCGCCTGGAACGGAGGCTGAAGGAGTCCCTGCAGAACTGGTTCCGGGCAGAGTGTCTCATGGACTATGACCCGCGGGGGAACCGGCTGGTGTGCATGGCCTGTGGCAGGGCACTGCCCAGCCTGCACCTGGACGACATCCGTGCCCACGTGCTGGAGGTGCACCCCAGCTCCCTGGGGCTCAGCGGCCCCCAGCGCAGTGCCCTGCTGCAGGCCTGGGGTGGCCAGCCTGAGACAATGTCTGAGCTCACCCAGTCCCCACCAGGTGCGAGGCCCATGCTTAGGGCCGAGACCCCCTCATTCATATAAGGGCTGCAAAGGGATCTGTGGCCCAAACCGGGAGGGAATCACTCCCCCTGTCCCACACACAGTGGCTGGGGCCTCTAGCTTGGGGCTGGAGTAAGGAGCAAGGGACGACGTCCTCTGCGTGGGTAAGGGCATCCCAGCCAGCAGGCTGAGCCCCTCTCCCTCACCCCTTCCCCAACAGATGATGACCTCGTCCCCCAGGACCTGACCAGAAAGAGCCAGGACTCAGCCCCCGTTGCTGGAGCCCCCTCCTCTCAGGATCTCAGCCCCCCAGATGTAAAGGAAGAGGCTGGCTGGGACCCTGAGAGGCCCGGGCCGGCAGAGGAGGAGGAGCTGGAGGAGGGCGAGAGGGTGGGGGTCCCAGGCCGGTCGCCACGGGGCCGCGACCTCCGCCGCCACTACCAGGAGCGCTGGCGACTGGAGTACCTCATGGAGCTGGACGGCGGCCGGCGCGGCCTAGTGTGCATGGTTTGCGGGGGCTCGCTGGCCTCGCTCAAGATGAGCACCATCAAGCGGCACATCCGCCAGCGCCACCCGGGCTCTACGCGCCTCAGCGGGCCTGTCAAAGCCCTCATCGCCCAGGAGTGGAGCGAGAAGGCCGCTCACCTGCTGGCCCTGGGGCTGCCCTGCCCCGAGTCCCCCAGGGACCCTGCCGCCCCCAGCACAGCCTCAGCCTCCGAGGAGGGGGGAGGGGAAGAGGAGGAACCGGAGGAGGAAGAGGAGGAGGAGTGGTGGGGTGAGCTGGCGGAGGGCTAGCGATGGTGGAGAGGGAGAGGGACCCAGCTAGGAAGCAGGAGTGGTTTGGGGAGCCATTGGGCAGAATGGGGTGGTGAGAGTGTAAGGTTGGAGGGGAAATTGGGGAGGATGGACGGAAGGGCAAAGGTGAGGGGTTATGAAGCTGAGACGCAGGGCCCGGGCTGCTTTGCCCCCCACCGACTCCAGTGCGGTCCTTTGTCCCTTCCTAGGCGATGTCCCGCTTTCCCCTGCGGAGCCGTCGGAGCGGCCTGCCGAGGAAGAAGAGGACGACGAGGACAGCCAAGAGCCCGGTGGACTAGCCTTCCCACCCCTACCCCCGCCGCCGCCGCCTCCCCCGCCGCCGCCTCCCCGCCGCCGGGAGCAGCGGCGGAACTACCAGCCGCGCTGGCGGGGCGAGTACCTGATGGACTACGACGGCAGCCGGCGCGGTCTGGTGTGCATGGTGTGCGGGGGCGCGCTGGCCACGCTGAAGGTCAGCACCATCAAGCGGCACATCCTGCAGGTGCACCCCTTCTCCATGGACTTCACGCCTGAGGAGCGCCAGACCATCTTGGAGGCCTACGAGGAGGCGGCGCTGCGTTGCTACGGCCACGAGGGCTTCGGGCCGCCGGCCCCAGCGCCGCGCGATCGCGGCGCCGACCTCAAGGCGGGCGCCGTGTGTCGGGCGTAGCGGGCGTGGCAGACTGGCGGGCCGGGCGGGGGCGGCCCTCGGACTGGGAGAGCGCTGCCCCTGTTTCCCCCTGGCCGGGCCAGGCGGAGATTGGGGATCGGTGGGGTGCCATGGAGCTCCGGAACCTAGTCAGACCTCGGGCCCTGGCCCTCCCCACGCAGGTCTCCATGTTTCCCAAGAAGCCACAGCGGCCTCCAGGCGTTTGCACCGAGCGCTTCCAGCCCTGGCCCGCGTCCGGCCACACCCCGGCCAGGCGATCCTGTGCGGGGCCGGGATGGGGGCGCCGACAGTCAGTATTAAGACCCCAAGGAGGGTGGCGGGAAGGGCAGTAAGGCCGGGTCGACCCCTTCCCTGGCCGGGGGCCTAGCTCGGCAGCGTTGCACGCCAGCAGGCACGGCGCCCGAGTCGGGCCGGCTGCCTTTGGCCTTACTGGTGTTCGCGGCCGCTCGGAGGCCTGGACTGGGGACATAGGCCTGCACGGGAGGCGGGGCCCGGGAGCCCGTCGGGCGGAGAAGGCGCGTCGGACCGCGGGCGGGCGGCGGCCAGGGGGCGGGGCGGAGCTGGGCTTGGGCCCCGCCGACTGCGCCCTCCTCCCGGGCGGGCTACGTGGGGACAGCACGCTGACGGCCCCACCCGCCTCCTGGCGCCTGCCGCGCCCGCAGAACCGAGATCTTGTAAAGGGATTAGCACTTTTTTTCCTTTGCTCCTCTCCTGCTCCGGAGGTCTCCGTTCACCTCTCAGCTTGGGCGCTGCTGCTTCAGCGCCCTCGTCGGTCTGAGCCCGGGGCACTGGAGGTCCCGGTATTTGGCGGTATATTCCCGTCCCTTCCCTGTCCCCCGTTGTACGCGGTGGGCGCGCCACCCGTTCTCAGCCTCCAGGGCCTGGGGCCGGGCCTCGGCCTTCCTTTCTCTTCCCCGCGGCAGCGCCAGGCCCTGTGGTGCCGGAAAGGGGCCCCGCGATCTCCCAGGCAGGTCCGAGAGGGATGTGTAGATTGATTCTCCTGTGGAGAACAGGTGGCCCCCGAGATCAGGCCTTTTGCTCTTTGTATTTTATTTTGAAACTGTATTTAATGCTTTTATATGAAAGGGGGGGGCGGGGCGGGGAGAGAGCTGTCCCAGTCACCCTTATGTGCAAATGTCTTATTTATTATGCGTGTATCAGAGATAAGCTGTGAGGTGGTGGAGAAAGGACCTAAAGGAAGGAGCGAGGGCAGGGGGAAGGGATGAGAGGACCCCAAAACATCCTATACTGTGTGAATCTCCAGGCCTCTCCTTCGAGTCTCCAGGCCACTTCTTTTGGTCTTAAAGCCCGAGAGTGGGGAGGTCAGCGGGTGGGACTTGAGGGCTGGGCCTGGAGGGGGAGGGGCTGCCTGCCAAGAGAGCAAAGAGGAAGCCCTTCCTCGCATCCCAGCTTCCCACACCCCCAGGCCAGAGCCCAAGGTTCAAGTGCCTCAGGCCCAGTCCCCTTGACTCTTCCTGATTTGGGAATTGGATTTTATACCACGGATTTTATAGCATTTTTATATAATTCAAGATCGACAGAGTTGGAAAGGCCTTGGAGATCAACTAGTATTTGCCCCCACTCCTTTCACGGATAGGTAAAATGAAGCCCAGAAACTGAAATTATCACACAGCCAGGTAGGAACAATACAAGAACTAGAATAAAAGAACGAATTCAGTTTCTTTGCACTACACAACACTGCCTCCCAATCTCTGGTAAGTTAGTAAAATTTGCCATTAGACCTGCCAAAGGATGGCATATGCTGGGTGCTGCAGGCCATGTCAGTGCACCTGTGACCTGGGATGGCCAGGAACAGCACACTCCCTGGGATGAGTGCTCTACAGGCAGTTCTTGCCGCCACAGGCTTCAGCTGGAGGGTGTGGACAGCGGCCTTCTCGGAACTCCAGATGTGGGGTTGGCTGCTGCCTGGCCCAAGACCTCCCTGTGGGGCAAGAGCTCTGACCTTGTGTCCGTTGTCGATGCCACCAGAAGTCAGGCAATACTGAGGGTTATCAGTTGACTGAAAAGTGAATTCCAGTGTGTGTGAACCGCCAGGGTTTTTGAGACAGTATTAAAAGCTTGAGAACAGGGATTATGGATGGCACCAGGCTGGGCACTGCCATTCTTTTATTTTCCTTCACGCATGTTGTTTTCAGATCCAGAATGAGTATTCTACCACTTTTGCTACTCTGCCTGTTCAAAAACAGTAGGCATATCGGGGCAACCTGTTTGTCAGTCACCCAAGCCCACTGCCGAAGTTCAGGTAAGCCAGGGCAGAGAGCAGGTTAGGAATGGCTTTCCTCTCCGTAGGCAGGGAGGGGCCTTAGCACAGGAGTGGATGTCTTCATGGAGAGGCAGCCCTAAGCACTCCAGTGGTTCTCAAAATGGCCACCAGACCAGCAGCGTTGTATTAGGAACTTACTAGAACTGGAAATTCTTGGGCCCCACCTCACTGAACCAGAAACTGGGGCAGGGCCCAGCGATCTGTTTTGATAAGCCCTCCGATGACTATTAGGCTCACTGAAGTTCTGAGCATGTCATCTGGGAAGTGCCATTGTAGTGATTCCTACTTTGTAGCTAGCTGTGGCCTCACCGCTTAGGGGTCAGGGGGTCCTCATCTCTAGGTGTGCCTCCTTGCCTTGGGTGACTGAACAGGTCAAGTTTCTTCATGAATTTTTTGTTAATGGTATGCTTGCTATTATGGCCAATATGTAAATGTTACTCTGAATACATATTTATATACCATGTTAGTGACATTATTCAAACATTTGTATGTGTATTTGTGAAGTTTGCATCAGTTATTTTTTTTTTAAGTTTCAGACTAAGTTTTCTAAGAGGTATGTTGAATAAATTTTAAAAATCCAGCTTAAGGGTCACGGCAGCCTTAGTTTGGAAAAGAACAAATCACAGGTGACAAACTGTTTCAGTAAAAACCTGATGTATTTACAATAGTTTCCATTTTTCATGGTGACTCTCAATGCATTGTGGCTGTGTGACTTAGAGGCTGCTTCGTATGTTGCAGGCGGGGAACCCTCCTAGGTTGGTGTGAGACTGAACTGGGACAACAGACCCCGCTGGCCCCTTCCATTCCTCATCTTTCTCCTGAAATGCACTCCTTAGACGGGCTCTTATTTTCTTTCAGAAACCAAACACAAACCTTTGCTCTCTGGAATTCTGCAATCTTGGGCATCATTACTGGTATCAACTATTGGTTGCTTTTTAAAGCCTCAAAGGTGGAATGGGGATTGGGGCCAGTGGAAGCTTTGTTTGGTTCTTACTTAACCCAAACTGTGTATAAAGAATAAAGTTAGCAGAATGACACCACAGTCATTGTTTTTCTTTTTTTATTAATACCACATCAATTTGCAGTTTTACAGGAACCAAGATTCAAGCTCTGTAGGTGCTACTGTATTTTTGTTGCACACACATATATGCACACAGTTTCATTAGTAATTTGTCATCTATAGGTTTTTCTTAAAAAAAAAAAATCCTGTATGGCACAAAGATCTGTCCAATATCTAAACACAGCAGTAATAAAAGCGCTACGTGTGGAGGCCTCCAGTGTGGGGGGAAAAAGGCCCTTTGGAGGGGACGCCCAAAAAGATGATCAGTGCACTGACTTCCAGGGAGGGCAAAGGATGGGGATGGAGAATGCATTTCCTATACTAGGACATGAAATCAGTTTGAAAATTCAAAAGAAAAGGAGGCTAAGAAGAGAATGGAGTAACACAAGGGTACCTTTTACGCATCTAAATCTCTTAATTTTCCCCAAAGTGGAAAGAAAATTTTCCTCCACTACCTTCTACAGAGCTGCAGTGCTTTGGGACCATCAAAGATTGTAGCCCTTCAAGTCACCAGTGCGTGTTCCCTCTGGATTATCATGAGGGGTCACAACCCAAAGGATCTCACAGATGACTTTCAAGTTTACAGAGTTTTCACGTTGGAAGGGGAGGAAGACATTTATCAGTCTCAAATGAGAATCCAAGGTTCCCACTCGCCCTCCACGTGCTATCAATGTGAGCTGTGTGTTGTAGTTGCGCACGGAGCCTATCGACACGGTCTGACCCAGCCTGGTCGCCCTTACCTAAAGCTTCTTGGAGAAGATTCTCACAAGAAGCACCCTGGGCCACGGCAGAGGTGGGTACTAGAACATTTTATGTGCCTGAAAATGAAAGGAACCCTCAAAACAACACACACCCAGAAGCTAGCCTCAAAGTTAAATCTCTGTATGAAACACAAAATGCACTTCCCTACTCTCATTTGTGGTCTCTTAACCACACACACACACACACACACACACACACACACACTCACTCACTCACTCACTCTCTCTCTCTCTCTCTCTCTCTCTCCCTCCTCCGAAACTAGCTCGGCTGTGGTCCTCAGGGTACAATAATGAGCACAGGTTAAAGACGCAGCCTATGAAGAAGCCGCAGGGAAAAGATAAAAGAAAAAAAAAAAGCCTTTTGTGTTTCTGTAGTTTGCCTCTTGAGTGTTCCTCCCCCCCACGGACTGAGATAGGATTACAATAACTCAATAACTGAGGAGCCCACATGCAGATTATTTTTTTTCTCTAACAAGTTTACAGCAGTTACAGACATTTATTTCATAATAAGAAAAGTACAACCATATTTATTAAACTTGAGGTGAGGTGGGTAGGGAAGAGGGGGGAAAGCACATTCAGGAATGAGTTCTCAAACTCAAAGCTCTGAACTGGTGTCCAGAAGAAACGACAGACACCCCCTTCCCAAGTGGCGGGGCCTTTCCTCTCGTAGGGATGAGGCGAGGGAGCGGTGGTCACAGCAGTGCTCCTGCTGACTCCCTCTCCAGCCCTACCTTCTGTTTCCATTCTCAGTTAGCAGGTGGCATTCTGGGAACCAGGAATTACTACTATCACCTATAAGTTATTCATAGAGTTGAAAGTTATATCTATAAGCTACGAAGAGGAATATGAGGAGTAGCTGCTCACATTGTGGGGCAGGAAGATGGGATGAAGGGCTGCAAAAAAGCAAACCAAAACAAAACAAACCAAACCCACGGGAAGGAATCCAACTCTTGTCCCCAGATAATTTCTTTATAAGTTAACCATTATTTCTTAACTTAAAAATACAGGCAAAATTATGATGGGAAGCTCTGTAAGGCTAGTCCTTGAAAATTAAATAGAAGAATCCAAGAGATGTGTTTACCTTTCATGTCCTCCTTTCACCTCCAAGCTTTCCCCATTCAAGCTGCATGTAAATGTTCCACCACCACTAAGTATTGATTTATCCTATTAAACTGATTCTGTTTTTATTCTTTTCGGTTCTAAGGTATCAGTTCTTTTTTTAGTCCAACAATTCTTGTGCTGATATTGCGGGGAAAGGGAAAGGAGGGGGAAACACCAAATTAAAAAAAAAAAAAGCTTGGAATGCAGGCTCAAGCTGACACTGAGCACGTTCCTTCATAGTACAAGTAATGACATTATAACTATTGAACGATGTTTTAGTAATTGTGGCATTTCTGGTCTCCATGTACTTATTCTGCCTTTTTTTTTGCGATTCCAGGTAGTTTTGCTTGGATCCTATTGAGGAAAATAAAAACAAAAAAAGGTAAAAACCGGTATTAGTTCTAGGTTTGTATTTTAACAGTGATGCTAGAAGACAGCCCTGGGCCTGCTGGAGCAGTGTGAAAACCATTCTCCCATCTCCACGGGGCTTAGTCTGGATGACAGGAGTCTGGAATGAGCTGAGGGGTCCACCAACATCCACCCCCTCCCAGCTGCCCATCCTCTCACTGCCAGAGCCTCGTGGGTCCTTCACCGGGGGTTCCAGAGAAGAATAAGGGGTATCTGGGCATAACGCCTGCTAACTGTACTCTGTACACTGGCAATGCAACAGTCCATTTCTCTGAGAATGCCAGGTCACCCGCAAGAGGAACCAGGAGTCAAGGGGTCAGGAGTCAAGGTTATTTAAAAAAAATAAAGGAGTTAGCAATAATTCCCAGCTCCTCATAGGACATCAAAGCTGCCCTTTATTTTTTTTTATTAAGGTTCCCCAAGACTAAGGTCATTTACATCCCTCAGCTAATGTCAAAGCTACTTCCCACAAGTGTTACATCCTACAGCAGGGCTGGGTCAGACAACACTGCTAATCAAGACACTGGGTTTAAAACTAAGTAAGCCAGGACCATCTTTCACAATCAGGGGTGAACAGCAACCAGACGCATATTTGTGCTAACTGTCCTTGTCTGGTTTTAGCTCCAATGTGTACCTAAAAAGGCAAAAAAGCAGGTAAAGAGCCTGGCTTCAAGCTGGAGCTGTCTAGGGATAGTCAGTTTCCTCTTATCAAAGCTGGAAAAAGCACTAAAATCTGGGGTGTGAAAGGGACTGACACAAAGGGTGGATATATCTGTTTGTGATGTTTTGTTTTTTAAAGACTATCTGAAGAAAATATGAAAAAATGTTGACATTTTAATTTGAAGAGTTGATTATAGTGTTTGCTATAAATAATTCAAAAATTTAAAAAAGAAAACATTTCTTTAATACGGTCATAAAAATGTCTATCAACATTTTATTACTGGATTTAAATATTAAATTGGTTTAAAAAAATAAAAATGGATTTGGTACTTTTTAGGAAAGAGGTTATGTTGAGCTTTAAAACATTTATTTACTAAAACTTTTATTTCTGAAAAGAGAGGGAAGAGTTTGGCTTAAAATGGAAATATATGAAAATAAAAGGGAGGGGACAACCGTAAACATTTAACATTTAAAAGTCAGTTTAAAAAGGCAGAGTGGTTCTGATTCCATTGATCCTTTTTAATCTAAGATACAAAGCATGTTTTTTCAAAGAAGCAGATGAAATAATCTCCTAAAAATCAAACTATTAACCAAGGTTTCTTTTCAGGGTGAAATTCACATTTCAGCGTGAAAACTTGGCATCAGCCAAGTTTTACACAGGGGACTGAAAATCACTGGGGGATAATAAAAGCACACATTATGATGAAATGTGGGACCTAAGCATACTTACTTTTCAACGATCGACTTGGTCTGATCACGGGCGATGCCAACGTAGTGATCAATCTGGGTCTTGAAGGAAGGAAAGTGACTCAGTGTGGCAACACACAGATTAACAATTTTCCTGAAGGTTATATTCCTTTGTCTAGTTTAACCATTTTTAAAAAACACTATTGAATATTCTGGAAAATGAAAATAATGCCCAGCTTTTAAAAGTATTTTAAAAACTTTTTAGGTTTCAGAATTCAAATTATGCCATAAATACCCCATACTCAGTTGCAGTAGAAAAAGCAGTCATTTCTTTTGCAGAAGTAAGTCTTACTTGCTAGGTGTTTCCTTTAGAGACACTGGATCTGTAATAGCATTTTCTGAATACTAGAAACTCTGTCTAATCTATTTTCTGTAATCATAAATGTGTTTTGGCTCCTGGGTAAGACCAATTCATTTAAAAAACCATAAATAAAGTTGGCTGATGGGTGACTTAATCCATAATAACCTCACAGAATCTAGTATACTCTATATACACCATTCCATAAGCAAACATTTGCTCACACCTATGGAGTCCCATAATTGCTTTCATAGCTTCTTAATAGTTTCAGTTTCTTTTTAGAAATGAGCTTTTATTTATTTAAACCTTGTTTCAATTTATTTTTTTGAACAGATAAAGCATCCATGTGATAAACACACAAAAGGCACATAATAAGGTATAAAAGTGTAAGTCTCCTTCCTACCCTTCTCTCTCCTAACATTCAGTTTCTCTCCTTAGAGGAAACCATTATTACCAGTTTCTTATAGGCACCTGGCTTATAAAATTAGACTGTAGAAATAGAAGACGATTGCTCCAAACTTTCAAACCTAAAAAAAATGAACCCAAACTAGTCACACACCAACTGGCATATCTGATTTGAAACAGGCCAGTGCTTACCTTGTACTTCTCATAGACGATCGGAACACTGAAAATGAGCAGTTCAGCTGTAAGACAGAATCACAGGACTTGACAAGTGTACATGTGAGATAGTCACAAAGTCTCAGGACTCAAGCAACACATAAACTTTTCCTCATGAAATTCAGAGAAGCATAGATCTTCACTATGAGAAATTCTGAGACCTCAATTAAGGACAGTTAAATAGATATAGGTACACAGGCTGCCATCTTTGTATCACAGGTAATTTCCAGATTATGAAAATGGTTTCTACAAATAAAATCCCATATGTAAGTCAAATCTAGACAACTCTCCTTTACTTCTAGCTGTTTTGATATTTCTTTATAGTTAGGACTATTTAATAAACCTATGGCCACAAACAGGTTCCTTCAATACCTAGTTCAAGGTCTCTACAGATGTTAAAGGCTGGGCCAGGGGCCAGCCCAATGGCTCAGTTGGTTGGGAGTTGGCTTGGGAGCGCGAGCTCTGAGTGATAGGGCCGCCAGTTCAATTCCCACATGGGCCAGTGGTTCTGTGCCCGAGTTGAGCTGCCAAAGGTGGCAGGATGGCTCAGCAAAAAAAAAAACAAAAAACGGGGTGGGGGGAGCCAACCGAGTGGCTCAGTTGGTTAAGGGTTGGCTTAAGAGTGTGAGCTCTGAGCAACAGGGCCACCAGTTCAATTCCCACATGGGACAGTGACGCTGCGCCTGAGCTGAGTTGTCACTGAGCTACCAACAGGTGGCAGGATGGCTGAGCTGGTGAGAGCATGTGCTCCTAACAACAAGACTGCCTGTTCGATGGTGGGCTACACCCACCTGCAACTAAGGCTGAACTCAGCATCTTGAGCCGAGCTGCCGCCCAGATGGCTCAGTGGATAGAGCATGTGCTCTTAGCAACAAGGCTGCTGGTTCGACTCCCGCATGGGATGGTGGCTACGCCCACCTGCAACTAAGATTGAACACAGCACCTTGAACTTAGAGACCACGAGCTGCTGATGTGCAGCCAGATGGCAACTGGCGCCCTACACAATGAAAACTGAAGAACAACAACTTGTCTGTTCCCCTCCACCAACTTCCCAATAAAATCTTTGGGGGAAAAAAATAAAAAATAAAAACATAAAGGCTGGGCCACATGGAAGGAGTGGAGCCATGCTGGGCATTCTCCTTGCTCTTACTCTTACCCATTACTTCAAAGGGCATGGAGACATTTTCCTTATCACCTTACCAAGAATCAGCAGGGTGATTCCATTGAAAACGGCACCAACATAGGTCATCAGCCACATGAAGACAGCCAGCTGCGAAGGCCAACATCAGAGGGTAGGGTTAAGCAGGAATAATTATAACGTAAATAAAATTCAGGTTAACTGATGCTATTTTCCTCTAGCGAATTAAGTCTGCATAAATTTAGTGATGTATGCCATAAATAATTTCCAAATGAAAGTCACCCCATGTGCATTCATTTGAAGGTGCCTAAGTGAATTCTGTAGATATCTTAGGCCCAAGACAGACTGTGATTGCATTTCTGTCAATTACATCACCCCTCTTCAGATGTTAGCTCTCCAGGCGCAGGAGATACCTTCTCAAATGACTCCTACCCCCATTTTTACAGGATGACTGAGGTTAAGCATCCATTTGTTTTTGTCTGATAAAACCCTATTTAATGTTTTCCCTCTGAATTATCACCTGGTCCCTGATTTTTCTCAGCCTCACCACGAAGAGCAGTAGAAGCAACTAACCTTCAAGGAGTCAACCAGGTCTTCTACCAGAAAGAGACGGATGAGGAGTTTCAGGGCCTTGTTGACGTGCACCATGGCAGCATTCATGTAATTATGGAAGGCTTCTGAGGACAGAGTAATGTCTACATCCAGGTAGGTTCTTCCAGAAGAAGAAACAACAGTCATATATTTGACACGGAAGGAGAAGACCTCTTTCTGTTAGCACAGCAGTTCTTTGGAGTAGGAAATTCCGAGAATGCATTTTAGAAATCTGTAGGGGCATTTTTTGCGTCATGAGGTGGGGTGGGGGCACCACTGTCATTTAGATGTGGACCAGTTGTGAGCAATAAAAAATTGTGCGATGTCCTGCATCACTTTTATTGCCTCATAGGCTATTCATGAAGGTGAACCTATTTATAATTATCAAGAGCAGAACATATAAACACAAGGTATTCCCCCCCCCCGTTTTAACATATCCTGAATTTTCTAAAACTGTATTCTGTTTATGCTAAACTTTACTAAGATTTTTTTTTCCCACCATTTTGGAAAATCACAACTGTACTGGAGATTAAACATGAAGGTGCAAGTATCTGATGTCTTTATTATGTATTTATTAAATATTGGCTGGAATCCATATTATTTTATTATAAATGTTTTTCTATTTTATCACTTCTTTATATTACAATTATAATCTATTAAATTTTGTTTATAGATATTTATAAATTTCATTTCAAAATGATAAAGGAGGCATTATAAAATATTTGTTAAAAAAACAAAAAGGAGGTACAGATATTTAGTTTGATAGGGTTGAAAACTACAGTAAAAGAAAGACCTGGCTTCTGTCCCCAGATGCACTACAGAACTGAGATGTAAACATCTGCTTACAACTTGTTCATTCACTCAGTACTTACTGACTGCTTACTGAGTACCACTATGCTAGGTGCTGGGGGTATGGGAAAGGTAAGACTGCTTTTGCCTTAGAGAGCCCACAGTTTTGTGGAACAGAAGAGTAACAGGCATGTTTTTCTTTCTTATTTACTACCAAATATGAAAGTTATGAAAATCAGATGCTGTAATTAATACAATTTAGCAAAACACATTTTACAAATCCACAGCAGTGCCACACAAGAGGGAAAAAAACCTGCCAAGACATTCACTGTTTTGCTTGTATTCACTCATTCATTCAACAAGTATTGATTTGGTAAAACTAATCTGCAATAACTTTTTAAATGCCACATATAGTTTAAATTATTCCTTCTATTTTCACTAGGAGAACATGCAAGGACCAGAGCCACAGCCAGACACCTATTCTATCACAGTCCTGAGAGGTCACAACAGGGTTTCTTTCTCTATGAGAAAAGGGGTTTAAAAAAACCTGCCATTTGCTAATGTTAAAATTTTTTATGGGCTAAGATTTTCAAGAAAATGTGAGGAATACGTTTAGTTACAGCATGTTTAGAAAAGCTGGCAAATGGATTGTAGAAATGCATGACCCACTGATTTCATCAAGACTCGCCCCTGGTATTAAGAAAACTAAAGGAGAGATAAGAAGGAAATCAGTAATAAAACCAAGAGTAAACACATCGAGTTCTGATATCACCAAAAGCACAACCTCAGTACCAAGATTTCAAAGTCGTGTTAACCATGTGGGGGCTTACCCAGGTACTAGGGACCCCATGGAACTGAGCGCTGTCCTAGGTGCTGTATTTCCTACCCTGATCAGATATTTAGACAGTTCTCTTTGGTCTTAAAGTGTGAGACTCTGGTTTGTCAAAAAGTTCTAGGCTCCTCATTGGTAGCTTCTTAAGGGCGGCCTCAAGGTTTCCGGTTGATGTGGCTGCTCAGGTTTACTGCCGCTGCTCAGCCGCATCAGGCCCTGTAATTCTTGATTTTTAGTCAGGTCCTATTTTTACACCTGACCAGCCTCAGCAAACCCTCTCACTAAATTGTAGAGTGTTACTTGTGATACTTCAACTCACTTGAATGGATGGCCTTCTTCTGACTTCTGTACAGCTTGGATGACAGATTTGTAGACCCTGAAGCTGATGGTGACAGAGAGGAGAGCCAGGATGAGGTAAGAAACCACACTAATGACACTGAAAGCTGCCAGGGAAAGCAGCACCATCAGCGTGGTGCCAAAGACAAACCCAGTCTTCTTCACATCTCGCCAGAAAATCAGATCGTGCACTGCCAAAAGAAAAGGGAACATAAGTTATATGAACACCTACGGGCCACAGGCCAGGCCTGCCCTCTGGCTGTGCCTGCACGACTGAGAAGCCCTATGGGAGCATGCAGTTATAGGAGCAGTCCTCCTTAAGAGAATCTGCTAAGAAATCCCATTATGTCAGGAGTGATGAGTCACACTGCCAAAGGTTCCTCTGGTTTCTGGACGCGTTTATAAAAACTAGGAACTTACTTTTTAGAGGTGGCTAGTGAAGTAGTACAATGGCGTAAACGGTCCTTTACTTAAAATGTTTAAACAGGGCTGGCCGAATGGCTCAGTTGGTTAAGGGCTCGCTCAAGAGTTTGAGCTCTGAGCAACAGCGGTTCGATGCACGGCCCGAGCTGAGCTGCTGCTGAGCTGCCAACAGGGCTCAGCTAAAAAAAAAGCAACAAACATTTAAAAATCTAAGCTCTTAAAATGTTTAAACAGAAAGGATGGTAGAGCAAGTGTGGTAAAATCTAGATAACTGTTGACTAAATAAAGGAAACCATGCCTATAAATTAGTTGGGCCAACAGACATAAAACCAAAGCTAAACTGAAATGTATAAATTGGGGTGGGGGCAGAGAGAGTGGTGAATATAAACAACCTAAGATCTATCAGTATTAGTCACAATGAAACCCCAGTCTCTATGTGAATCTGAAGAGCGCCCAGGAAGGGTTACGGGTAGGGGATCATATAATTATCTCAACCACAATACTTTTGAAAATGAGTGGGGACACTATAAATAATTGTTAGGAAATAAGCATAAACCAGGACTGTCCCAGGCAAGTGGGTCTTATGGTTGGGGGCATCCAAACTGGAAAAATTTAAGTTCTACTTATAGAGACCTCAAAAACTGGGTGTAAACTGCTAGCAATTACCTCTAAGCGAGCAATGACACTACATTTGAATTTCCACCTGTGAAGGCTAAGTTCAACACTAATAGCCCTACTGCAAGTTTCTCCTGTGCTACTCTTTGCTTGTCAGGAAGAGCAAGGGCTTTGGAGGTGGAGAAACATGAGTTTGAGTCCTGGCAATTTTTAGCCATATTACCTTCATTAACCTTTCTAAATCTGTTTCCTCATCTATAAAATGAAGAAAGTGATATCTATTTCCTGAGTTGTTTTAAGGCATATATAAAGCTACTATATGTAGACTGTTTAGCACTGTAAAGGACACTTAGTAAATCCGCAAATTTTAACTACGATCAAAATAGGGTTAGTCTGGAAGACTGTGACTGAAGGTAAAATCAACTAGAATCTGATTCCAGTTGACCCACTGGCACCTACTTCTTCCCCATATTCAGCTACGATACTTGCCTCCGAAGCCTAACCTTGCCAGAGCCAAGGAACCTAACTTGAAACTAAGAAAACTCTAAAGACATGCTGATTATATAGAAGAAATACTCCTTGGTTCTGACCTCCCTAGGGGCTGGGGGATGAGACTTACTAGGAGAAAGAGGAGATTTATGATTGCTGGCAGGAAGCCGGGAGTCCCAGAGAGTGATGTGGCAAAGGAGAGAGAGAACTAGGCGGCAGCTCAGGCCAACCTGACTGAACAGGATGCTGCCTACTTGCGAGAGCGATTCCTACAGCCGGAGTCCAAGTGTATATATGTCACAGTTCATACAAGTACAGGAACAGTTTCAACACAGAATGTTTAGTAATGGAACAAACTGATACCACATGTCTCCTGATGTAATATATGAGAAAGACATACCATCATTTCCACGGTATTCTTGCTAAAACATTACAACCTGAATTTAATAAGAAAACACCAGACACACCCAGGTTGACAAAGTCTATAAAACAACTGTCCCGCATTCTTCAAAAATATCAATGGTGTGAAAGACAATGAAAAGCTGAGGAGCGGGCCGGCCGAGTGGCGCGATGGTT